TGTACATGTCTTCTTGGCTGTGTATGCAAGAAACCCAGGAATATAAACCTAGAATTACAATTGCTGGATTGAAGACATGTATCTCTTTAGCTTTTCTAGATATTGCTAAATTACTCTCCAAAGTGGATTCACTAGTTTATACTCTCAGCAGCAGGCATGAGGTTTCCTATTTCTCCACATCCTTACCACACTTGGTCTTATCAGACCTTTTTATCATCTTTGTGTGAAATGCTATCTCATTGTTTTAAAATGCACTACTGAGGTTAAGCAATAGATCATTCTTAAAAGACCTAATGGCAAAGAAAAAAAAAATTTAATACAGAAAAAAGGTCTAATGCCATTACTTTCAGACAGAATTTTTCCCTCTGATAGCAAAGTAGTTTTAACACTGTGTTCCTTTTAAATGTTTACACATCCTTGTCCTCCTTTCATTAAACTGCATTATGCTTAACCTACAATGGTAGAAAGTATACATAGGGCCAGAGGCCTGGATTTGCATCCTACCTTCTTAGTCAGTCACTCCTTAATTCTGTCAGCACAGGCAAGTGAAAACCTGCCTACCCTATTACCCATCCATATAACAGGGATGACAGTATCTGACAGGGTTCTTGAGAGGATTAAATGTTACAGCAGGTTATTATCCATTGTTTCAACTGCAGTAGCTAACAAAACCCAGTACATAATAGACCATAAGCATTTGTAGAATTGAAAAAATTTACCCGCCAAGCATTTTCCTGAACTTCACCCCCTCAAGAATCCCAGGGATCCGTAAGACTGCCAGTGGTCTGGCTATAACAAGACAACCAACTCACATTTGAGTTACAGATAGCAGCAAATTGCATGCAGTCCACTTGATTAAAGGGTAACATGACACTATGAATTCACTTTCAGTGTGTGCATTATTTGATATTCAACTGATTAAAAAGATACAATCTTTATGAAGTCAGGAATGATACTCAAAATGAGTAATTTTTAAATATCCCACTTCCTTCCCAACTCAACTTTACAACTGTCACTTAGCTAAATATAGCCATGCAGCGATTTCTTCCTATGACTTCCCCATTAAACTGACAATAAATGTAGTTTCAAGTAGAGAAGTTTTAGCTCAGCTCCTTAAGTTACCTTGAAAATTTTCTAACTTTTGTAATACTGAAATTTATATACCTCTACCATAAATTAGGCCATAAAGTCATGGTTTGAAATCTCAATTACTTAGCTTAGTATTAATTTCTGTTCACCTTTATAATCTGGCCAAAATACAGACTTCAATGTTGAAGTAATTTGAAGTTCATTGTATTTTTCTTTTTATTGTAATGATCAAACACATTCATGTAACTTCTTGGATAATTCTTTTTAGAACTGAGTCTTTTGTATTTCATATTTATTTTCCATTTGTCTTTCAGTTTCCTTAGTTTTATACATTTAATCATTTTTATCAAATTACTGGATTAATGTCAGCTCTGATTCTTGTAAAACCAAAAATACTTGTTACAAATTGCTTATTAACACCAAATCTTAATTTTTTCCCAAAGGTTTATTCCAATTTTCTACTTAAATAAACTCAACATATAAGGCTTGATTCAATTCTTAAACTGCTTTTTCAGCTCTTGCACCACAGGCTGCCCATAAGGTTTGTTCTTCCAGTTCTTATTGATTCCCTGCTTTTCAAATATATATATATATTTATGGTATAAAATCAAACTTACCCACTATTTAAAGTGTTTTACATTTTTATTACACAATTCAAAAGTAGTTGAATACAGCGCATTAATGGTGAATTAAAATATCCAGAAATTTCCTAAGCTTGTGGCTGTAAAGTCCAGATTTTCTAAAACTTGCTCTGTACAAAATACAATTTGAACATTATCGAACCCATTGATATACTAACAAAATTTGATTATTTCAGATGTTTCCATCATTGTATGATCAATAAAAACTGTTAAAGCTTTAATGTATCTCATCACTTTCTATTGTCTGTTCATGAATTTTATATAAATGCAACATTACTTATATAATCCTTTATGTCTTTTTTTCCTAGGTAATTTCATTTTTAGAGAGGTGAGGGGGCAAAGAGGGAGAGAAACATCGATGTGTGAAACATTGATTGGCGGCCTCTTGCAGGCCCCCAACTGGGGACCTGCCTGCAGCCCAGGCATGGGCTCTTTACTGAACCAGTGAGTCAGGTTCACAGGCCAACATTCAACCCACTGAATCACAACAGCTAGAGCCAAGTCTGGCTTCTTTAACAATGTTTCAGAGATGCATCCGTCTTGTTCCATGTACTAGTTTTCCCCCCGTTTTTATTCCTAAATGGTATTACTGTTTTTTAAGATTTTATTTTTAGGGAGGAAAGGGAGAGAAACATCAGGGACTGAACCTGTAACCCAAGCATGTGCCCTGCCTGGGAATTGAACCAGCTTTCCCTCTGTGAGACCAACACTGAACCAACTGAGCCACTGGTCAGGACCATTTTCACTTAAAACAATTTCATGGTAACTATTTTTAAAATCCATGAGCTAAAAACAGATTGCTATTTATATGAACGTTAGAAGCTTCAACTTTGAATGATACATTTAACCATTTGTATCCACAATGCACATCATCTGCAATAAGCCACCATATAGTCAGACCTTGAACAAATTGGTTCTCAGCCAAGTTGTTCACAGAAAAAAATGCTTCCATTATCTATCAATAACTTTCAGTCTTTATTCTTTACCTTATAAGCGTTTCGTGCCAATACCTGCATGTTCAATCACGTGTCTCAGGTGACAAGTTTTCAAATAAATCACTTCTCAGTTTTCCAGGGTTGCAGTATATTATTTCTGCTTTGCTACCCAGTAGCTTCAGCTATTTTAAAGGAATGTTAAACTTTTTCAAACTTTTTACCCTGTGTATTTAGTATTATTAGTTTATCAATACCAAAAACTGCATACTTATTTACACAATAAAAATAAAACCAAAGTAGAAAATTATTCAGGGGCCAACAGTGTCAGCAGAAACTGGCAGCCATGCTCCCCAAAACCTAAACAATTGAGTTAAAATTTTTTTTGTAGTAGTACAAGTATGTAACTACAGAATAGTCATAAAGATGGATCCTTTTGAACAGTTTTCCTATAGATATGAACTCAACCAGCAGAAATGCTACAAGTATTTTTCAGATGTCACTATAGCAAGAGACCCATTTTATCAATGATCAAGATGTAACAATTAGCTTGAACTAATCAGTTTATAGACTTTACATCAATTTTATCACACCACAGAACTGTCATATCTCAACCTGTCTTTATTAAAATTACAAATGCACAAAACCCTTTGATCCAACTGTTTTGCTTCCAAAGATTTATCATTTGTATATACTTACATATACAAATTTCTTGAGGGTAACAGCAAGAAATTATCACTTACCTCTGGGCCAGGTACTGTCCTAAATGTTTTACATATGCTAACATGTTTAGTACTCATAGCTTTAGGATACAGATATTCCCATTTTACAAATAAACTGAGGTTTGGAGAATTAAGTGGTTTGCCTAAGTTCATGCATGAGTAAGGGCTTCTGAGTAGGTTACAAGTTAAGGATGACAATTTTGGAAATCTGGTAGGCCTCTGTTCTATCAGCAGCTATACAACGTAACAGCTGAGGTGGAACTAATTATGTTGCTCATGCTACTATGTCTGCAGTGTTTTGCTCTGTTTTAAGTTATGGGTACATTATTATTCTCATTTTACAGAGGAAACTGAGGTTTGGAGAGATGGAATGATTTTGCCTAAAGTCACTAAACTAGTGCTGGAGCTGTAATTCAAATCCTGAAAAGAGGACTAGACTGAATCACTACATGACACTGGTTAAATTCATTATAGTATATTCATTCAATGGAATATATTGCAGCTATAGAAAATGATGAAGCTCTTAGACATGTGACAGCATACAAGATATATCACTGAAGTGAAAAGCCCAATGTACTGTTACTTACTGTTTGTATAAAAACTGTTACCATGAAGTCAGGGACCTAAAATTATATACAAAATTTGGGGTGTATGTGCACTTGCCTGATAAGAGTATAATACACTTCTCTAGAGGTCCACTTTAAAAAAAAAAAGATGACTTAAATCTGATGTTTCTAGTTCAATCTATGAATTTTCCTTGAATGTGTGGTTTATACATTTTAAACTTGGAAGAAATTATTTTTTGCTTATAACCATAATTATCTTCATTAAATGTATAAATTTACTTTTGGCAGTGGTTGAATCCAGTTGCCAATGATTTCTAATTCAAAGTGGACTACCCTGCATCCCAGGCGAAAGCTTGGTTTCTTCCAACATCCTGACCATATCAAGAGGCCAGTGAGGCTGTAGGAAGGTACAAAATTAACACATGATCATTGAAAATAGTGACTGATATTATAAACCAACAAACGTACTTTATATAGCTACTTGAAACAGAGCAAACAATCAGGGCCTGAACTCTTACCTGACTCAAGAATATTTCTTAAAACACCTATTAGGCATACACTAGTAATTAGTAAGACTGAATCAAAATTTTTAACGGAGCTAAAACTTGAAACAAAGTCTTCCAATAGTCCTCTTTGAATAAATTCTTACCATCTGATGTTCTAGAAATAAACTGCTTAATGCAGGATTATAGTGTACTGAAAAAGATGGCAGCTTTGCCACAGACCTAAATTAAGAATATGGCCCTTTAAATGCTTAGGCTTTAACCTAGTTTATAGAAGTCACTCTCTTTAATCACAAATAATGCTAAAATGTGTCAAATAAAAGATGTTTTTTTGGAAACAGATCGTACCGAACTCCTTTTACATGACTGCTTTTACTCCCAGACTTGGAAATATTTGTATGTCAACAGTCACTTTAAAATGGAACACCTAAACACAAATAACCACTTCCATTAATACAGGAATAATTTTGAGTCAATAAAGAGAAAATTAATGTAAACCAAGTTTATTTTGCTTAAGTAGTGTTCTTAAAGCACTACAGCTTGGTAAACAATGTAAATTAGTATAAGTCATCTCAAAAGCCAGTTTTGTTTTGTTTTTTAATGAGTTGTTAAAAAGATGCAGCCTATTCTAACAGGATAAATATTTTTAACCATTTCACTTTGAGTTAATGAAGGCTCACAAATGAGCAACACTCCTCATTGAGGAAAACAAAAAGCTGTTGTCGACAAGCGACAGCACACACACACAAAAAACCCAAAAGAACTGTGTAAAAATAACTAACTGTGTTCACGTATTTTTTGAAGTCGCTTTACAATGGGATGATATGCACATGATCTTGCTGCAAACTTGCCATACAGACTTGTAATACATATAGCCTAGACAAACAATTCAATCCAAGAGGTGCTAACTTCAGATAATGCAGCACTATAATCCTTTTAAGAATGCAATTTGTTTTACTCATTATTTTTCTTCTAGACTGAAATACAGGCCAGAAAGAAACTGATCCCTAATTAAAAATTGGTATTGTTTACAGAAAAAAAAATGTGTAATTTTGCATTAGAATTTACAAGTATATGTTCAAATCCAATTTACCTCCTCCCCCATCCCTACCACAAAACGGGCATGAAGTAGAATTTTAAAAAATGCCTTAATTTTCAACTTCATGCAAACTAAATAAAGATGACCAAACAAAAGCTTTAACAATGGAAGGTATTTCACAGAAAATTTCTTATACAAAAACACTTAAGAAAAAGGGCCACTAGGTGACATTTTAATTTACAAATTGGCATCATTTTGGTCGACAAATATCCAGATGCTGTTTTCTTCTGCTAACAAGAGTTGCAGAGAAAAAACAAAATTAAAAAAAAAAAAACAAAAACAACAAAAAACCAAAACAAAAAAAACAAAAACCAAAACAGCATGACTTCTGATTTTAATCACACATTTCTTCTGGAATTTCATGTGGATTAAGGATACCAGGGACAGACATTTGAAGTTTATGTTTTTCTTCTTGAGCCTGTCGAAGGGCTGTTTCTCTTTCTTCCAAAAAGAGATCAGATGTATCTTCACCTGCAAACTCCTGTGAAAAAGGTCAACAGAAGTGCATTAAAAAAATTAGTCTTTGGCGGTAAAAAGGGGCAGATAAGCACATCCCTGTTTATACAAGGGATATAGTTTTTCCAATAATTGGTTGGGTTTAAATTATGGTATTATGTGGCAGAATTAAAAATCAAAAGTGTTAGTGGCGAAAAAAGGTTACCAGTCCTGGTGCAACAGAAAAATTCTTCATAAACAAAGATAACAAGAAAACTGTTTTTTTTCCCTAAGACTAATCAAGTTTAGCTATATAACTGTCTTCATAGCTATATTTCAATTCTCATTTTCCTTTGCGTTTTTATTTTATGAATCATTTTTTACACTTAGCTACATTTCCCCCTCCCCCATTCACTCATTTCATTCAATTTATTTTAGAGAGAGGAGAGAAACCATCAGTTGGTTGCCTCTTGCCCACTCAAATTGGGGGCCAAACCCGCACCCAGGCATGTGCTCTCAACAACTAGTAATCAAACCGGTGACTTTTGCCTTGCTGGGCAATGCCCAACAAACTGAGGAGCCACACAAGACAGGGCTAAAATGAGTTTTATCAAGAGCAAGTTTCCAAAAAACAACATTTCACACATTATCTTCTTCCTGGCCTCGATTTGGTTTTTCTTTCTGTAATCAATCTCACACTAGTATGAATGTACATTATTTTAAAAGTCCACTTATTTACACAATAAAGCGATTAATTCTGTAATAATAATTAGTCTCCATATTTCTGCAAATGTAAATAAAAACACATACCTTTATTTGTACTAGGAAATCCCTAAGATGTTCCTTGAAAGCAGGAATATCCTGATTTAAGCTGAAAAGCCCCGTCACAAAGAGCTTTACTTGAGCACTGCAAATCAGAACACAGTAATTAAACAATTGCCTTTTTTTAAATGAAAAGTTTGTTTATTAAAATTATATATATTTACTCTTGTAGATGAGGGAATGCAGACTTAAGGAGATTAGCCACATATTCCTGAATAAACATTTGGTTGTTAACTGGATTCCCAGGGTTTAATGGTGTACTTATTTTTCCCTCTTCAACCAAATTAAACATATACGCAAGGATTGACGCATGCATTGTCAAACCTGTTGATAAAAAGAACATTATTAACTCTGAGATTTAATACCAACTGAAACATTTAGCATTTTTATAGCTGTAAATTCTTACCAGCAGTATGTGAGGTGTCTGTCACAACTGAAAAGATATGTTGAAGGATATCACAAAAATAAGTTTGATAAAAACTCTGTGCTGCAGCTTCTTCTTGTGCAACATTTTGTAAGAGTGTAAAAAGGATCTGTAAGCCTAAAATACACAGAACACCGACAAATTACAGACAAACAACATTCATATAACAGTATTTCACCAACAAACTATTCTGATTCAAAGTCCATTCTCCCCTTCTTTTAAGGTAATGATTATTTGCCTAAATTATCTTGAATCAGTAATGGTGTTCAACTAAAATAATGTCTATTTACTTACATACTCTAATAACCACTACCACCATTCTACTCTGTCTGAAGGAATCAGTTGCTTCACTCCACATCCACACCAAAAACAGTACAACCTAAGTAGATCTTCCTATATGGGTGATAGTCTTCTTCTACTTTAAATTTTATGCCCATCTCCCCATAACTAATCCTGCCTATGCACTCTGTCTGAAATAGACAAAGTGCCTTTAGGATTTACTCAGACCTGTATATGCAATTGATAAACTCAGACAAAACTGTTAACAAGTGATACCTACCCATCTACAATTACACATCTATCTATAAGTGTCTGTATTCTCTAATTGGTATACAAAAAGAATTTCTAAAAACATCATTTTCTATGCACTTTTAAGTTTCTAAAAACATCATTTCTATGCATTTACCTGTATCTGCAACATTCCTCATAGTATGTTTGAATGCCCAAATAATGGAATCCAAAACGAGTTTAAACTGTGCAGGTGGAATAGCCAGAAATGCTGGGAAACAATGAGAATTGACAGCCTGAAGTAGTAAGAAAAAGTTTGTTCTGTGTTCAGGATATTCTTCGAAGTCCTAAAAATAAATGGTGGGAACAAAATCAAGTTTAAATACCTTAATTATATGTTAAATGGGATAGGAAAAGCAAACCCTAAATTTAATATACTTGTTAGTGGAACACATAAGATGTATGTCCTCCTGAAAGGCAAATCCAAAGACAATAGAATTCACCTCTGATTGGAGATAAAATTACCATTTATCAAACGAATTATGAAAATGAGGAAACACAAAGTCATATTATAAAGGAACCCATTGAAAGACACATGAAGAATGCTTTTTCTGGTAACTCTGAAACTATTCTTATCACTTTATTTTAATGACTTTGAGTCCATAATACAGATTAGAAAAATTGTTAGCTACTGTGTAAGTTTGTACACTAACATCAACATTTCTTTTCTTGGGTAAATGTAGTTTCCCATGCTTTATAAGCATATATTATACTTTTATAACTGAAAATGTAGACTTATTTAAACAAATATATACAACTAAATTCTTAATGTCTAAAATACACCAAGATTTCAATGCAAGCTGCCACCTGAATATTACAATTGTTTACTGTTTTATAAAACAAGTATTTCCCTGATCTAGAAGTTCAAACATTAAACTCCAGAACTTATCTTACAGAATTTCCCATTTTCTAACTGAAATGTAAGTCATATTACCTTGTTTATCATATTCAATGTGCATTCAAAAACAGCATCAAATATCTGAGGTATTTCAGCTGTTATATGTCCTCCCAACTTGTTGACAATAATAGCCATAGTACTAAGCACTTCTGGTTCTCTAGCAGCTGGGACATTTCTCTGATAATCAATGAGAACTGCATCCAACAGAGGAGGAACAAAATTTTCGGCAACCTGTTAAAAAAAACCCCAAACATCGTTTAACTTTTAACTTACGCATTTGGTCACTATTATAAAAAGCTAGGTTGCTGTTGTTTGTAAGGTTGATCTACTATAAACTGGGAATCCTGTGCCTTTCCCAGGTTTTAAAACAAACCAAAAAATCACAATAGGGTGGGGCAAGGGCCAGGCACACATAGTTCAAAATTTATAATTACCAAGGAAACTAAGGCCCAAAACCAAGTAACTGACTCCAAGCTACGGTGGCACAACCAGGATTCTAGGGATACTATACATGTAGGATGAGTAAACTAATAACCAAGGTTTTTTATTTATATACACCCCCCGCAAAAGTATTCATATCTAATAGAAAGTAGACACTCAATGTATAACTTCTATGCTTTTTACAGGTTTTCTAGCAAGACATGTGTGTATAAGAAATACAACCGTTTTGTTAATTGAAGATTACTAGTAAGCAGTACCCTACTATACAAAACAGGTTTAGTAAGATGTGATGGACAAGCACAAAATATTTCGAGTTACCTACTTTATCTCTGTCATCTCTTGACACTGAAATAATTCTTTCACTACAAATTAGAACTGAAGTGTTTTTGAATAGTTTGAACTCACTGCCCCAAACATTTACATAAATCTTCATTGTAAAATTCAATATTGCTGTCTTAGTTATTATCACAACTGGTATGAAATTTGCCAAAGCTTTTGTAAATTATCAACTTCGCAATTCCATCAACTCATCCTCTTTACTTTCCAATTTTAATTAGCTCTGTTCTTGTAATGCACGTGTTCAAAACTTTTCAATATTTGAATCTGATATCTTGAGTATCCCACAACTGTTTTTCTGAACAAGCTTCCTGAAAATTATTTATCAATGGGAACAATATTAAAATTCCCAAATTATGTAAGTAGCACACTTGTCAACCACTATTTCCACACAGCAGTATCAGCAGGACAGAATTTTTGTAATGTTTCAGAGAATGAAAAGATTTTACAGTAACTAAAAATAATTTACATTTTTCCAAGTGGAGGCACATGGAGGTCATTTAGTTTCTTAAAACCATGCTCCTTTCCAGAAATGATTTCAGGTTAAAAGCAGTTAACAGAGTAAAAGACTTTCAAACTTTCTGCTCAGAAAGCACTTCCACTGAAGAAGCAAACTAATGACAGCTTTGTAAATTGCTGTGAAAATCATGAACACAAATATTTCACCTGAACTCTATTACCTATTAATGGAAAAATAAAAATGACCTTTTCTTCTCAGCAATCTTGTTACATAGCACGACCAACTCCAATTACTAGCAATTTCTTTGGAACACTGTTTTCTAACTGCTGCTACTTTTAAGTACTCAAGGACTCTAATATACAGAATCCTATAAAATAGTCCCAAACGTAGGCACTGAAATTACCTTTATTTTTGAAAAGGATTTATTTATTTATTTATTTATTTATTTATTTATGGGGGGGGGGGCGCGCCCGCCATCGACATCGATATGGTTGCTTCTCGTGTGGCTGGGGACTTGGCCAGCAACCCAGGCTTGCTCCCTGACCAAGAATCGAACTGGCAACCTCTTGCTTCCACTGAGCAATCCACTGAGCCACACCAGCTGGGCCTGAAATTACCTTTAAGCTAGCCAAATGCTTACAGAGATAAAGCATATTCCAGAGAATGCAGCATCAACTTAAATAAAAAGCACATCTCACTTACCATCTGCGGATCATTAGACCGGCTCACCCAACCAGATATTAACTTTAAAGTTTCCCTTTTTACTGTTCGCATACTTCTAATCAACGGTTGCTTTGTAACCATCTCACCTAAAAAATACAATCAAGTGGAAACCAACTTGGACAACTAAAATTCTATATTGGTAATTACATGTGCTTCCAATATTATTTACCATTCAAAACCTAAAGATAAATTTATTGAAAAAATTAGATAATTTTATAAAGGGAACATAATTGGTTAAAATATTATCTAGGATTACCTGGAGGGAGGTTTATTTAAAAATCTGCTAGAACCATTCAATGCTTACAACACTAAGGCAGCGAATGTTGCCTTAGTGTAACTGATGTTATACAACATTCCATAAAAATTCAAAATCACTTACCATTGGCTTGGATAGCTGCAGAAATATTTTCACTGAGGCACTTGTATACATTAAGCATATCTAAATAAATTCTTCCAAGCTGAATTACAAAGGGGTGTCCAACAGCTTTGCAGGCTCTCACATTTGTTTTCAATATGCTACCAAGCTGCTTGACTGTTTCAGGATCTTTAAGTATATCCACATTCTGTGAAACACAAAAATATCCAATAATCACATGGGAATTATCTTTGTAATTACTAAAGCAAAAAGCACTGCCCACCTTATTCCAAAGTCAGTCATATTTTTAAATCCCAAATGGCATTAACACAGTAACAAACACAGAAGTCTATTTCTAATACCTATAAACTAGGATTTGAGTGAAATATTCCCAATTTACCAGCAAAAAACGGAACAAACCTTTTACAAATGTAATATAACTTACTTTGGTTGCCTGCTGGATTATGCTATCCCAAACTTGATTAGGAAGTAGCATGTATTTTTCTATCAAATGTTCTTGTACTGTTTGGTCTGTTTGTGCACCAATCATGTACCCCACAGCTTCATAAAATGTATGGACCTGTGTTAAAAGGCAGGTATTTTACTTTTACATAGTAATAAGGAAAACTACACACAACAATTCAGATATGTACTAAAACTAATTTTATTAAACTGTCAAATAATTTATATTAGATAGGAATATAGCCAACTCAACTTCTGGTTGAATTTCTACTTCACTATAAAAACAAGAGACACTTGAACTGAATCTAACAGTGGCATTCCTTCTGTTCCGATTAATAAATTCTGGCTAAAACGATAATTACTTTCTAAGAAAATGTGCTGAGATCTCCCATACCTGTTGAGGCTGGAGATCACAAATTATAGTGTTAATGTTGTTCAAAATTTCATCAATAAACGGCATCACTTCTCCAACCTGAACCTGGACAAAATGCCTGCGACATTTCTGAGCTATTTTAATGAAAGTATCACAAGCCATGTCTTGGACTCCGTCATGGGTCTCTAATGAAAGAAAAACATTTATCAAAAGAAGTTAAGAAAAATTTTTTGTTCAACAAAAATAAACTAAATAAAATATATGGAGGATTTACCATGCATGAATTCAAACAGCTTGTTAACTACTGTCTTCAAAAATTTCCAGTGAGCTCTTAAAAATCTTGGATATTGACCTACTATGTACATGATATTTGATGCGATGATAGCTTTATTATCTTTGCCTCTTTTCTGTTCACATAATCCTAATAGATCCTGTAAAATAAAACAAATTTCAGTAATTTATAACATCGTTATCTAATGATTGTAGTCCATCCACATCCATCTTGTGCATACCTTTATAACTGTAACAAGAAATCGTTTTTCGTCCTCTTCATGCATTGCTCCACTAATGGAGCCTATTGCCCAACACAATGTATTTAAATTTTTCCATGACCACTCTGTACCATTCACTTGATTGTGAAGTTTCTCAGTCATTATTCTTTCTGTATCTACATAATCCAGGTGAGTAAGATAAACTACAAAGGAAAACAGTTCCAGCTATTAAAAAATTCAGAAACTAAGTGTACCCCCTTTCCTAAAATATTTCCACTCCAGAACAGAATCACACTGATAAAAATTGAATAAATAATATTTAACTTACCTAATGTTTCCCTCATATTCTTATACAAATTTATGGAATCTGTATCCTTCATGAATTCTCTTACAACTTCTCCCTGATCATTTTCTACAACTAATACTTCCTCTGGTTTAGCCATACGACTAACCATCAATAAACGAACCTATTCAACAAGAAAAATGTTAGATCTTTGAAATTAGCCACACCAAATGCAGTGATAAAAAAATTAAGATATATGCACTTTAAGATATTACCCACACAATATAAAATAACGAACGTATTCAAAATGTAATTCTACAACAGTGGTCGTCAAACTTTGTCATGAATAAAAATCAACTGTTAAGTTTCTATGGTCTCATTCAGAGAGACAGATTTGGTAGATGGGGGCCACCTCAATCTGCATTTCTAACAAACTCACAGATGTTATTGATACTGCTTGTAAAAGGACCACAATTTTTTTTTGAACCATAGCTCTTCTATCAATCCCTTCCCTGTTCTGGTTTTCAACATGTATGGAAAAGTTGGATTTTTTTTTTGTACCTCATCATTTATTCGGACAGACTAGTCAAAAATCATAGTAAGCAACAGGAAGAGCACTCAACCACCCACTGAAGTGTTACCTTGGATAACACGGGCAAATACAGCTGTCTCCGGGGAGGAACATCAAAATGCTGACTCCCAGATAGTAATGGAGAGGCAGATGTAGAGAATGGACTCTCTCTATAGAGTTCAGCTGCCAAATGATTCCAGTACTCAAGACAAATCTTAAAGATTTCCGTTTCCTCCACTTCTGATACCAACAACATGTAATGAAGGGCCTACAAAGACCAAAACTATTAAAATAATCCTTAACATCATTAACAAAACTGCTTTCCACTCGTTATTTAGAAAAAGAAATTCATGTTTTATTTCTCACAACTCTGAGGTTTCATTATTTGTGCAATAGACTAAAAATTGTCTAGGAGCAAATTATGCTTTCTACCGACACGTCCTAGAACACTTCAAAAACAGTATGTAGTAGTTAGTTGTTACCAATAGCAAAAATGGTAGAAACAATCCAAACGTCCACCAAATGATGAATGGTACACAAAATATGATAGAGCACACAAGGAAGTATTATAAGGGATGGAGGCAGACAAAAATGAAATGGATTTCATTGGGTACATCATTCTTTTGCGGGTGATGAAAATATTTTGGGACAGATGGTTGAAAATACTGTGAATGTGCTAAAAGCCACTAAATTATGAACTTTAAATAAACTGGACAGTTTTGTGTTATGTGGATTGCAACTCAATTTTTAAGTAAGGTCATTAGACTTAATCTTAGAAATAACGTCTGTATATCTTTAGTAATTTAACAAATATTACGTAAAGAATTTCAGAAGCCAAAGGTTCCACAAAGCTTACCTCCATGAGTGTTTCCCTGAGATTTAGTCTTTTTTCTATAAGTTGACCATGTTCCTTAAGAAACGTGCAGAGAAACAAACTGAGATTTTGAATAAAGTTCTGTTCATCATCTTTCCCATTAGAGTACGCAAGTCGAATATTGGTATTTAAAGGAAGCATCTGTAAGTTTAAATAAAGACTGTCAGTCCACATTTTAAAACCAACAACAAAACAATGCCTTTAAGCCCCAAGATCCTATCACCCTTTATTAACTCTAAAACAAAGAGTTAAATAGTTTATTCTTCTGTAACTCCTTGCCCTGTCCTGTTTTATTATCCTTCTGTCCTAACTTTGGTTAAATTTTTTCCCTTTAATGTTTTAAGTAGTAAGATTTCCTCACATAATTCTCTGAATTTTTCCCTGTATCAAACCTTTCCTTCCCCTTAACGTTACTAAAAACATAAAAGTCAATTTATTCAGGTCACATACACAGTAATGTAGTATTATGATGAACCTTCTAGGTAACTTCATACATATCTAATCAAACTAGGACTAGACAATCCTCCATATCAAAACTTAGGATCAGAAGTAGAGCTGAGGAGGAGTCTGGCCAAGATGGAGGCGTAAGTAGAAAAACTTTGCTTCCTCGCACAATCTAAAGGATAACCGCCAATTTGAAAACAAACCAACCAACCAGAACTGCCAGAAAATCAAACTGCATGGAAGTCTGACAATCAAGGAGTTAAACATTCATGCAGACTGGTAGGAGGAAAACAGGCAGCTGGGGGGGAAAGGATGAGCAGCAAAGCAGTTTGATTCCCCCCTTCCTGTGTGGGTAAACCAGGATGACCAACTGGGGCGCAACACAAACCATAGAACCCAGGGTTTCAGCACAAGGACAAAGCCTCAAAACCTCCAGCTGTAAAAATCTGTGGGGGATTGTGGCAGCAGGAGACTCCCAGCCTCACAGGAGCATCTGTTGGAGAGACCCACAGGTGCATAGAACATAAACAAGCCTACCCACCTGCAAATTAGCACCTGGAAGGGCACAATGTGCTTGTGGGTAGTGGGTGACTCCAAGTGGGACGAGAGCCAAGCAAATGGTTTTGTTCCCTCACTGATCTCCCCCATCCTACATACAGCGCCACAACCCAGCGAAGTGAGTTGTCTTGCCCCTTACAACACAACAGGTACGCCGAGACCAAAAATTATGGCCCAAATGAAAGAACACATCCAAACTCCAGAAAAAGAACTAAGCAACAAGGAGATAACCAACCTATTAGATGTACCAGTTCAAAACACTGGTAAATCAGGACAGAGTTCGATCTCAAAAATGAAGGAAGAAATGAAGTTTATATAAAGTGAAATAAAGGAAAAGAGAGAGAACCAACCATGAAGGGAAGGAAACTGGGACTCAAAGCAATGATTTGTAGAAGAAATAAACATCTAACCAGGACAGAATGAAGAAATATTAAAAAGTAAATAAAATTAAAAAAAAAAAATGAGAGTCTTAAGAACCTCTGGGACAATTTAAACGTTCAAACATCTGAATCTTAAGGGTGCCAGAAAGAGAAGAAAAGAGCAAGAAACTGAATACTTATTCGAACAAATAATGATGGAAAACTTCCCTAATCTGGTAAAGGAACTAGACATTCAAGTCCAGGATGTCCAGAGAGTTCCAAAGAAGTTGGATACAAGAAGAAACACACTAAGATACATCATAATTAAGTTGCCCAAGATTAAAGGTGAGGAGAGCATCTTAAAAGCAGCAAGATCAAAGGAGACAGTTACCTACAAAGGAGGTCCCGTAAGACTATCAGCTGATTTCTCAGAAGAAACCTTACAGGCAAGAAGGGGCTGGAAAGAAGTATTCAAAATCATGAAAAGCAAGAACCTACATCCAAGATTACTCTATCCAGCAAAGCTATCATTTAGAATGGAAGGACAGATAAAGTTCCTCCCAGATAATGTGAAATTAAAAGAGTTCATCATGATCAAGCCCTCATCATTTGAAATATTAAAGGGACTCATCATCTAAGGGAAAAAAATGATGATCAAAACTATGAACTATAAAAAACAAACTCACAACTATTAACAACTGACCCTAAAAAACACAAACTAGGCCAACAACTAAACAGGAACAGAATCACAGAAATGGGAGATCACATAGAGGGTTATGAGTTGGGAGGGAGTGAGGGGAGAATGGGGAAAAGGTACAGGCAAGTAAGAGATATAATTGGTAGGTACAAAATAGATGGGGAGGTTAAGAATAGTAAATGGAGAATCCTAAGAACTTACATGCACCACCCATGGACATGACCTAATAGGGTGGTGGTGGTGAAAGTTAGAGGATGGAGGGGTACAGGGTGGAGAAGGGGGAAAAAATCTGGACAGCTGTAATAGTATAATCAATAAAATATACTTTAAAAAAAAAAAGGTAAACCAGATATTAAGAGATTTGCAATCTTTCAATGACTCTATAAAACGTTCATTAAAATGTCTAGTTTACAATTTTATCTAATAAAATATGCAACCATACATCTGGTTTATTTAAGCTGTGCAACTCCAATCCAACTTTTCCCCTAAGGCACTAAAATTCAGTCAGTTTTTAAGAGTGTTGTTTTACCTGTTTTAGCTGCATCATTGTCAGTGTAAATAGCGTTACAAACTGTTCCTCATATTGGCTTACACTCACACCAGCTATCTCAGTGAGGCACTTTAGAGACACATTTCGAAACATTGGAACATTCAGGAACTAATTAAAAAAAAAAAAGGCATAAAGTTAAATCATGTGAAACACTTTACTTGAAATTAAGAATTAAAAAAAATAAAGGATTTTTACATGAAACAGGGAAAATGGGTAATATATTTTTGTTATTTTGCTTTGAGGAAATTTTTAAAAAAGATTTTATTTATTTTTAGAGAAGGGAGGAAGAGGGAGAGAAACATCAATGTGTGGTTGCATCTCATGTGCCCCCTACTGGGGACCTGGCCTGCAACCCAGGCATGTGCCCTACACTGGGAATCAAACCAGCGGCCCTTTGGTTCGCAGGCTGGTGCTCAACCCACTGAGCCACACCAGGTAGGGCTTTTGAAGAAATTTCACTATCCACCCAACAAACAGTATTTTAGGAGCAAACTGCTTTCTTCTAATGTGTGCTTGGACATCTAAAAAACACAAAAGTTGCTTAGTAACTGAACCAGGACCTATTATGGGACTTTTAAGGACATCATGTTTCCTGTGTAGTCTAAAAAGAACCCAGTATTTGTAACTACTCAGGATTTTAGGAGAAGTGCAGCACACCTGTGATTAATGAAGGTGTAGGAAAATCAGCTCTTTCATATTCTATTTTGAAAAGGTATAGAAATGGCATACCATTTGTGGATGGTAATTTGGGAAGCATCAAAATGCCTTAGAAATGGACATAACTCCTGATGTGATACACAAATTTGTACAAAATAAATATTCGGACAAGTGCGTAACGTCTTATGTTTAAGAATGTTACCTGCAGTACTGTTCACAATAGCAAGGCAATTTTACATAAATTATATAATAATAAAATGACATCTCCAATATTATAAACTCATGGTCAGAATTACTACCTTCTCAAACCCTGAACTACAAAGCCCAAAATATAAATTATAATCACCTGTTTTTAAAAAGTGATAATTTATTCAGACATCTGTCAAGAAAACATTTGAAAATAAAAGAAATCATAATTGTTTATCTCTGGATGAATAGTTATAAGACTTCATATAACTATTATATGTTGCTTTTAAATTTTCAGAAAAAAACACAAACTCTCCATGTTGTAGAAACATCCCTTTAACTCACCTCATTGTGACCTATATAATCACTTATATCCAAAACATATCCTTGAACAGTTGTTTATATGGAATTTGTGAAATTACATGATATAAACGGAACAATCAATCATATTTTAATAGTAATTCAATGACTTACTCGCTGATACTATGGAAGAATTCCTCTGAGTACGTTCCATATCTCAAAACAAAGTTACTTATGGCTATAAATGCAGAATAGTGTTTCTATATGAAAGAGCATTACAAATGAATAATACATGCAATTACTCAGTGACAAATAACTGAAATGTATTCACTCTACCTTATAAATTAATGTGCTGATTAACTTGGTCTCAAAAATATATCCCAGTGGAATCCAGTTTAGAAATCTGAGCAATGTTTCCAATGTTGCATGTACAAGCGGCGCATTTTGGGAGTTTTCCTGCAACAAAAACATACCTATAAATAATAATCTTCTCATAATGGTCATTTAAAAAAAATGAAATTAAAAGCACTTACCATCACAAACTGACACAGCTGAAAGATCTGTGAGAACTCATTGCACATGCTAAAAAAACCCCCCCAAAAACCAAAAAACGATCAGTTTAGAAGACAAACAGAAATTATTTACATGCTAACAAATATTAAAAATTTCAGCAACCTGCTCATTAAAACCTTGAGTTACTTCCATTTGAACACATATGCCAACCACTTTATCAAAAGCTAAAAAGTTATTTAAATACTATGTGTTTCTTCGAGGTTTGGTTTTATGTCATCCTTGCTCTAACAATATCAATCTAGTCTTTTTAATCAATGTAATTAAAACAAAATTCTCCAGAGTACGAGAAGTGGCATTACATACAGGATGGGACAAAAGTAGGTTTACAGCTGTGAGTAGACAAGTTTATTCTTATTATTTATTATTATATTAATTTCCACACAAACAACTGTAAACCTAGTTTTTTCCTACCCTGTATATCCCAAATCCTAAAATGTGCTTACACACCGAACCAGATGGAAAATTGTAAATTCTGAAGTTAGTTTGAATACATAAAGGTATAAAGGTAATACAGTGACTTGAATAAATTTTTAATTTTAAGAAGGAAGAAAATAAAGTCTGGAACGATCCTGGTGTTAACAGTAGGGAACTGCCAAGCTGCAGGACTATTAAGAATTCAGGTGACATTTGGACACAAGTCATTTTCCTTGGAAGCTCCAATTAAGTAGCCAATTAAGTAACTATATAAAACAGATGCCAAAGGGGTTTCTGGGAACTCTCAACCTATAATCATTTATCATGCGATTTATGTTATCTCCAGATTTAGAATATTAGGCCCACTACTTAATATTAGGGACTACTTAAATTTGTACTCAAAAAAAATGAAAAGTAATTTAATATTATTTACAATCACACTGCCTTAAAAATTTACAATCTACCTGCAAATTCTTTTAAATAGTTTGAGAAAATTACTTAAAACTTCTAAAAAATACTTGCCTGTCTTTTAAATGCTTAGCTTTCACTTGAGTTATCTGTCCACTAGAAAAATCAAAGACTTCTTCACTCAAGAGTTTAAGAATCACCATATTATTTTGACAGAGACTTTCACTGGTCCTACTTGCTCCAACAATATCACTGATAAAAGTTGGCCAGTGTTTTGGCCATTCTTGTTTCAGTATCTATAATGAGAAAAAATAATAATTAATTTTACTTCATTTGTCAATGACAGTAAATCATACTGAAAGGAATATGCCAAAACTTTGTATTTTCTACCCCCTTAATAAAACAGGAAATGTACCACCCTCAATAGAATACACTGGATGGGAAGTATAACAGATAAAGTCCTGTCTCAAATGTCCTGTGATTCCTTCCTCTCAATTATCCCAACTGATCTAATCTGGCTCTAGTATGTATGCATATTAACATTTGCCACATAAATATGTGCAGATAATCCTTGGAGACTAAGCAATAAAAAAGGTGATGGGCAGGGAAAAACTTTTATGTTGGAATCTGGCCCTTGAAAATACAGTCCGGTTTGGACATATATAAATTTGAAAGGAGGCATTACTATTGGGGATGAAATCATCTTTGACCAAAACCCTAATGATGAACTGTGTTTGATTTTTTAAGTATGTACTACTGCACACTAGGGATCTCCCAACCAGATATTCTGTAATAGCACATGTGAGTAAGAGGTAAGTGGCTATCTTCTCTGTATTCTTCCCTCTCCCCATTCAGAGAGAGGCCACCAAATTTAAGCCCTTAGTTTAAAAGTCAGTTTAACATAGTGAAAACCCAAATGTTTTAAAAAACCAAGCTTCCAAAACTTAATAAATAAAAGTTATTTTTCTCTCACACATAATTAATCCCAGGAAAAAATTTTTGACATTTATAAAAAATAAGTAAATATTAAAATTTCTAAATTTAGATTATACAAAATGTTTGAAAAGCCAACTAAGTAGACTAATGAAAGGGATGCTAAATTCAAAGGCAATGATTTATGAATGAGATTGATACAGATGACAGGGAAAGAAAACACGTACAGTATCAAACAAATGAGAAAATTTTAAACAAGCCCAATCTATATTGGAGGCATAGAAGCAATGAGTTGACAGTATTTGATGTTTCCTATAACAGCAATTTCAAACACTAGATGGGTTAACTATTATAGTTATTATAAAGATTAATCACTACCACCACGGCAAGATACTAATTTATTCAACGAAGTAGGTTCAAATGTTTTGTTCATGTAATCAGCCTAACTGAAGCATTTAACTCTTCTAAGGAAAACAGTGAATCAAGTACAAGTTTACCTGAACAAGAATCATATTCAGTTTCCCGATATACACCTTTTCCTTCTAAAAAAAGAAAAAGTTTAGGTTAAACGAGGGCCTAAAATAGGCATAATAAAAACGTAAGCATAGGAAACCCCTGAGAAAAAAAATAATTGCCTACCTATTGAAAATAATTATGCTTATGTGTTTGTGGGTCTGTGACAGAGGTAGGTTTTATGTGAAGATTCAATATTTAAATGATTTTACAATGCCACCATAATCTCCAAAAAAGCTCTTACCTCTACACAAGTTGGATCAGATGACGTCTTGATAATGAGGCCAACAACGTATTTTTTTATCCCTATTAAAAAACAACAACAACAACAAAAAAACCCTTTTATAGCATGCTAATAAATCTTCAGGGGGGAAAAAAATTGGGGGAGGAAGGGGGCAAACTACAGTCAGATAATATGCCTAAACCCACCACCAATGATGGTGTTTGGGAAAAATTTAGTGCACTACTTTAAATTTTGAGGTTTTATTATTAATCTTTACAAAATATGGATTTAAAAGTTACAAATTATCTCTTAAGATAGTCTTTAATTCTATACCACCTAAGTACACCAAACCTGTGATTTTGAAATAAAAAAAATATAAAGGACTAATGTGTTGTTCATGGAAATAAATACAAACAGCAACTTATTTTTGCAGGTTGAAACTGCAAACATCCTGAGGATGTAACTTTGTAAGTATTATGAAGAAGTTTACGTAAAATATTTATCAATAGAGACTTGGTATTTTTATCCTTTCCCAATTTATTTTAATTATACATTAAGCTAATCCTGGAAATGTAATTTTAACTTTCCCCACACTACAATGTAGAAAAAGAGTTAAGGAGGAAGTTGTAGTGTTTTTTACTCAAGAACCCCATAATAGTACATACTATTCTTTAAATAGTCAAGACTCTGTACCTTTGATTTTAATTTACATCATTATGAATTTACAGAGCATCTACTATAGGTCCACTTAAATTTTAAAGTAATGCTGTGCACCTGCATTAACATACACAAAGGGTCTGAAGCAGGATCCCTAATTGAAGACATCTTTATTTCCCACTACATAAAATAAAGACTGTTTTCACATCTTTTTAATATAGACTTTGCTGCCAAATGATTTATACACATTTTCCATTTTCAAACCTATCTAACTTTGGAAGTACAGATAAGAGTTCGTGAAACCATGTGTCCAAACCCTCATCTAACAAACTGGAACACTGCACTCAAACTTTTGTTAAGAAGGAATTTGCTTACAAATTTACCTGTAAGAATTAGTATCAAATATAGACAACCTCAAGACAACAAATGTCTTAATGTCATAATCTTTATGAGTTTAAGTATTAAATTCACTGTTTTATACCTATGGTTCCATTTCAATGGTACTTGAAAACAATTTTTTTTATTAATTATGTTATGTAAACTGGCCATTTCCTTTAATGTCCCTATAAAAACAATCTTAAAAAAAAAAAAAAGGAAAACAACACTAATCAGCCCTTGCTGTTGTGGCTCAGTGGACTGAGCAACAGCCTGCGAATCAAAAGGTCACCGGTTCTATTCTCAGTCAGGGTCCATGCGTGGGTTGTGAGCCAGGTGCCCCAGCTGGGGGAACGCTAGAGACAATGGATCAACCTATTTCTCACACATTCATGTTTCTCTCCCTCCTTTTCCCTCTAAGAAGTAAATAAATAAGATCTTAAAAAAAAACAAACAACCCAAACTTTAATCATGAAAATCATTTTCCAAACTGTGAGAAAATTGTTAGTATAAAAAAAAGTCAAACATGGTAATAAAAATATAATTTTAAGTAGTATCAACATTATGGTGTAACATTTAAAAATACTGCCTGCCCAATTCCCTGGCTGGGTGGCTCAGTTAGTTGGAGCATCATCCCATACACCAATAGAAACCCCTGTGAGACTGATTCCTGTATTGGAGGAAATCGATCCATGTTTCACTCTCATACTGGGAACAAACAAAAACAAAAAACAAACCAATAAACACGGTGAGGATTTGGGGGTGGGGAAGTTTTTTAAAAAATTTCTTCACTGATTGTTACATACACATACAATGTAATGAAAACTATGCTATTTACATTGTTAAGTCTCTTCCACATTAGGCAAAGACACAATACAAACTGCTGCAGACAAGACCCACCAATGAATGCTGAAACGAATGGGGCATTACCTTCAGGAAAAATGAGTGTTTATCTGCATAGCCTCATATTTTCTCCCCAATATACTTATCACCAGCAGGCACCACCATAACCAAATGATAAAGGTTAATAACAAGCAAGCAAACACATCGATATCATGTATCCCCTGGTTTTGTGGACTGAGGACACAACATCACATGTGTGGCATTTTTGCCTTAAAAAACATGAACCTAAACTAATATACACTATACAAAATAATTGACCAGAACTCAAGTGTCAAAGGCATAGAATCAGGAATTAAGAACTGTCACAGATTAAGAGACACAAGTAAATGAATTATAGAACAGAGAAAGACCATTAAACAGAATATTTGTGAAGTTCAAATTAGGGTCCACAGTTAATATATTACTGAACCTATGTTAATTTTGGGTTTCGCCATTTTATTATGGTTATTTAAGTTGTATCAGGACAAACTAAAAGGTACAAGTGCATTCTGTACATTCGTTTGCATTGTTTCTACAGTCTAAAATTATTTCAAAATATTTAGATGCTTAGTAAACACAAAACCAGGTCTAGTTTTAATAAGGTAATTTTTAAAATGAAACAATTAGGGGAATCCAATTTACTTTTAAATGAGCACTAAATTATACCATTTAGGGTAACTCACACAATAATCTCGTGTCCTCAATATCTGTAAGATCTAATCAAAACATAATTCTGGTATTGTTAACCTTTCTGTTCTTTACACTTAAATTACTATCATTAGGGCCCTCTGAAAATAAAGGGCAATTCTTAAAAAAAAAAAAAAAAATAGAGTAAACATTCCTCTGAAACCTCTTAATCCAGGTTACACAACTTTAAAAATAGAAACAAAAATACAGCCTGTTCTCTGATTACATGACTGACAATACCATGTAATAAGAAATTTAGTAGTTTTCTTCTAAATCTGCCACAAGAAACAAGACAATGTCCAAAACTACTACCTCTATTTGGAATGTGTAAGATTTGGAGGCTTTTCTCAGCCTCAGACAATACAAAACAAGATCAGACAGATCTTTCCACTTTTCTGTTATTGATTAAATCATTAATTATTCTCACCCTCTTTTCAGGGGCTTCTAAAATTCACTGTAAATGGAGCAAAGGGTAAAAGATGAAAACAGGAAAAAGGCAAAGCTCAAAAAGTGGAAGATTCCCACAGACAATGAAGTCTCAGTTTAATGTCACTTTACCACAATCAGCACTTCTATCCCTTCAAAAGACTATAACTATATATAAACAACACCTTTTTGATCAAGTACTACTGACTTTTTAATTACCTGTCCAGAATTTCCTACTACTGGGTACCAGAACTTACTTGATCAAGCACCGTAACTCCTTCCCCAAATCCCTTCCTATTATTTACCCCAATTTTTTAAAAACGCAGCTCCATTATGAACAGCTTTACAGCTGTGAACTGCACCTTAAAAAATCTGCAATGTCATGCATATCAAGATAGAAAGGCCCAATGTTTATAAGCAGCAGAAAAAGCTGTTTCTGAGATATAACAGAAAACATCTAAGATTTAACAGAAAAAGACATATTCCCAGTGTCTTTTTCTTTGTGCCAAAGTACTTAGTGTCTGTCAGTTGCATAAATGACAGTTTGTACAATTTATTAAATGTATTACTTTTTAACTTTATTGATTTTAGAGAGAGAAATATCAATGTGTTGTTGTATTTATTTTTGCATTCACTGGTTGCTTTTTGTACGTGCCCTGTGAGGCATCGACCTGTAATCTTAAGGTATAAGGACGACACTCTAACCAATTGAGTTATCTGGCCAGGGCTAAAACAAATTCTTCAAACAAGGTACTCCCCTTTAAAGACCTCATATTCATATTCAACCTAGTGGCAGAGTAGGTGGAAATGACACTTGTCTCCTCCAAGAACCATGAAGAATTCATATTCAGTAAGAACCATTATTAATCTGAAATCATCCATTTCCAATTATGTGTATGTGAAGTGTAAAGTGACTGGGTGTTAAGAAGGTTTTTATTCCAGCAGCTTCCCAAGCTCTTCCTTGGGAATCAGGAAAATTAAAAAAAAAAAAAAAAAAAAAAAAATCACATTTTCTCAATGAATTTTAATTTTTATGTCTGACAAGTTCAACTATGTTCTTACATGGTCATTATGTCATCAAATTTTTCAAAGAATTCATACAATGACTCACCATATGTATATCCATCGGCCTCCTATACTGTTCTTCTCAATGAATAAAAATATTCACCTAAGTTTTTAAACTTAACCCTCAATTTATTGAAAGGTGTTACTTTTTTAAAGACTAGCCACTTTTAATTTCTTCAAAACAGGATCACTGGAAGGCAGCTTATAACATGAAAATTTTTCCAAACCGAACAGTTTATGCATGTATTTTTTGTAAGAGGAGACCCTAAAACACCCAGATTTTCATTATAAAAAATTGTATATTCAATTTTCAATTGCAATTATGATATCCAACAGAAACACATGCAGCCGGGTAATAAAGGGACTGCTTTAAGATGAAGAGAGCGAGGAACACAGGTAAAAACGGGAAACATGAGTAAGTACCTATCAATAATAACCTTAAATATAAATGGATTAAATGCTCCAATCAAAAGACAAAGGGTAGACGAATGGATAAGAAAACATGACCAGCACAATGCTACCTGTAAGAGGCCCAGCTCAGAACAAAAGACCTACATAGACTGAAAGTGAAGGGTTGGAAAAATATTACTCCAAGCAAACAGGACAGGAAAAACAAGCCAGGGTAGCAATATTTGTATCAGACAAGAGACTTCAAAACAAAGGTCATAAAAAGAGACACAGAAGGACACTTCATAATACTCAGTGGAAGAATCCATCAAGAGCAACAGCATGAGTATTACGCTAAGTGAAATAAGCCAGGAGGTGAAGGACCAATACCTTACGATCTTCACCTATTAAGTAGAACCTAATAAAAAAAAACAAACAAACAAGTGAGCAAAAAAGAACCAGAAACATGGAAATAAAGAACAAACTGACAGTGACCAAAAGGGAGGGGGAAGGGGGGGATTAAAAGTGGAAGGTGGGGAGTGGGTAGGGCAGGGGAGAGTAATGGGAGAAATGGGGACAACTGTAATAAAATTTTTTTTTAAAT